AATCGCGTTCCTCTGACCGATAACTTCTCGAGTCGGGGTTTATTTTTAGAGTTCCGCTGCTCATTTCGCCAAGGCCTCGGGTCCTCGGGCTTATTTTTCGCGCGAGGGTTTCCATCCGCCGCCGCCTCTCGAGTTGCTACTCTTTGCCGCCCCCTCCGTGATTTGAAATTCAAATTCGGCTCCCTGTCAGGACCATTCGCTCCCCTGGAATTCCAGCCTATATTCCTGTATGCGCTTACGCTCTTTAGATTGGTTTTGCATCCACCCCTCCCACTACCCCTCCCCCTATCTAACGCTTGTTTTCCGGATGTGGTTACGAAGCTGCCCGGAGGAATCCGGCAGTCGATTATTTGGACCGCGTTAAGTAGAGAGGAACCAAGCCACATCACCCATTGCCAAATTTGATTGGGCAATTTTTTTTTTTTTACATGAAAACGGTTTTGTAGATTTTCATGCAAATTTCAGTGAATTTTCTCCAGAATATAAAATAAAATCCTTAAAAATTTCCAAGGAATCCATGCAAACATTCTCTCGTAAACATTTAACCTTCCCAACAATAACAATACAATAACAATATTTGGCAATAGCTGATGTAACATGGTTCCTTTCTGTTAAACGTCGTCCATTTATAATAGAGGTGAATTGAAAAGACACTTTTTAAGGTGTCGCTTTTTTCGTGAAAATTGGAAAGCTGCGCCCTCCTCCCTCATTTTAAGTTTGGGAGAAAAGTTGTACTTTTCACAATTCTGACAACATCCATGATTTAAATGAGATGAAAATTTTGTTCGGGGAAATTTTTTGGTTTTGAAGAACGGGTTTGCAGACCCCCTGTTCTCCTAACAACGCCACCACACTTATTCCCAGCCTCGAAAAGAGGCTGGAGAATTTTTTTTTACCTTGCGTTTGTTCACTTACGGCTGCAAGAGCTTCATGCTAGCCGAAAACGCGTGGCCCGATCAGAAAGCGACTCAATTTAACTGTATTAAAAATATACATATGGCCATACTCTCCCGATATAATACTCCAGCTCTATCCCAAGGGAAATATTTTTTCTCTTAAGCAATCCGCCGCCAATAGTAATATTGAGAGAGTAACATGGACCGGGTTTCTCAAAAGTGTCCCGCTTAACAGTCATACCCTCTGACTAACGCCAAAATGTCAAATACTGCAAAAAGCTTTTTATGCCTACGATGTGTTATTGTTGACGTTATCACGGGTGGTGGCGGGGGAAAAGGGTAAATTGGTTTAGAGGCTCCCTCCAGTCCCAGGCGCACAGTGGAAAGAGTCTTAGGAACAAATCGGACATGGAATTTTTAACAAAAATTGTAAATTGTAATGTTTATTTCATTGCATTGTAAATTCTAAGGGGTGTCTCTTGTAGAAAATGTCATGAGAAAACAAATGAAACCACTTTTGGATCATCAACACTTTGTATTAAGGTGCTCCAGGTGATCTAGGGCCGAGATCTGCCAACACGCTGCGCTGCCCACGGTTTGCGTTTTTGAGAAGCAATAACTATCGTAATGTACAAGATAATGCAAAAAACTGATCAATAACGCGTAGCAGCATTAATATCGAGTAGAATGGCCTCAAATTTGTTAAGATTCATTGTAAGTTTATACCTGAAACTACGATAACGGACGTTGCCCATCGACTCAATGTGTAAGAGAGAGATAGCGCTGTAATGTCTTTCTCTCTCTTACACATTGAGTCAATGGGCAACGTCCGTTATCGTAGTTTAAAGTATAAATTTACAATAATTCTACACAAATTTGATGTCATTCTACTCAGTATTAGTGCTGCTACACGTTATGGACCAGCTTCTTGCTTTACCTTTTTCGTGACGATAATTTTTGCTTCTCAACGACACAAACCGCATAGCAGCACAACGTATTGGCGAATCTCGTCCCCAGATCACATGGAATCATCTTATCGGAGTTATAACCTTAAAGTTACGGCATTTTGTCTGAGTTCTCCAATCGACTCGTTCCACTGTGGGGCGGAAAGAAAAAAGGGAGGAGATGGGCTTTTCCCCCGGCTCGCTCCCGTTTTAAAGTTGCCTCCGGTTGGCGGGGAGCCACGTATTTACATGCAAAATACGGCGACTGGTGCCTCCAAGTCCAAATGCCAAAAATAACAAATTGAAATTCACAAACATGGCGTGCACACGTCGCGCCCTCCCCCTTCGCCAATCGCTTGAATGGTTTCTCTTCGCGGTGGCCTCGCTGTCAAACGAAAGTAGAAATCAACGGGTTCTTCGCGCTTTTGCGATTTGTAGGAATCGGGCGGATTTAATCGCACGAGCCGGCAACTGTGTGAGGAAAAGCTCGTGTTCGCCGTTTTGAAACCTAACTAAACATGTTTGACGGTTCTTTTTCCTCGCATCACCCGTCTGCGAGGAGAAATATCATGAAAGATCGGCACGTGTCATGCGAAAGTGTGAATGAACACACATGTGATGCGATCTGAAAATGAAAATCCGAAGTATTGCTCATGGTCATTAATGGAAACAAGAGATTTAACCCAACAGGCTGATATAGTGGCAACGTTAATCTAAAAAGTTTCGACATGATAATTTGCAGTGGTTTCAACCAATTTAGGTACTCGTAGTAAGACATAGCCTTATCACTTGTGTTGACTTACTTTTTGTTCCGGTCCGATCCCCCCCCCCTTCCATTCACCGGACCGAGACAAAAAATAAGTTAACACAAGTGATGACAACACCCGACACAGTGCAAAAACCCCCTAGTTTACATAGCCTTACGTCCAAATTCTGTGTTTATATCAATTGTAATTTCGTCTTTGAGAAATACATAGTTAAGCAAAGAGAGCTAAGCAAAACAGCTTCACATTTACTTTGTAGTGTTCAAAATCTCATTTACTATTCTAATTGTTTGGGAGGAAACCAACCAACATTTCGACTCGAATATTGTTGCAATTTGCTTCTGCCCTTATGAAAGTTACTCCTACAAATTTTTAACCAAAACGTTTTTTTTTTTTTTTTTTTTTTTTTAAAAAAAAATTGGAAGAGGAAATGAGATTTCAAAATACTTCTATGTGAACTTGACTGATTTGCTTACCTCAATCCAAATCATAAATCAATTAACAGCGCATGAAACACGAGAGAAGATTGCAAGAAACACTTAGACGCATCTTACCACCATGATGCAATTACGCAGTCATGCACGCATGATGCAGTCATGTGTTTGTTCTCAATAGGACCATCGAATATAAAACGAGGGTCGCAGCCATTGAGGCACTGAATGAGTCTTAGAGTCAAAAATTGTCAATACGACTTTCCCCCTCGATTCGAGTCTAAAAACTCAAGTTTAAGGCTTGGACGAAAAACTATCCTCTGTTTCTCAAAGAATAAGTCGTGAGCAGTTTAGTTCATCTTAGTGCCAAAAGAGGGCATAAAGTTGCACTATATAATTGCCACGTTGTACCTTGAACATGACAGACGAAAATTTAAAGAAGTTTTTATTCTCTTTAATGCCAACTTTGAATCGCGATGAGTCCAGTTTTTTTTTTTTAAATTCTTGGGCACTTTTCCTCTCAAAATGTTTGCTGAAAACCTTTATATTCCTCGGTATTAAAAACTTAATTTCGAGTTTTTATTCCAACAAATGTTCATTTTCCCGCGACCGTTCACAAATGTTCACGTGGGCCAAAAATTTGTCTCTGAGTATATTATTTACTATCATAATGTTTCAAACATATTTCTTCGTTTCCCGTCACAAAAGGACGTAACTATATTTCAATGTTGCCAAATCTTCATGCGCTAACTATATTTTTACCGAGAGAATCTTGGGATTATCAAATGAATAATTTTACTGATTTTAGTTCTGATCTCATGCGAAAATCGGAAAAACGTTAGAAAAAAAGTTCACAGGTACACATTGGTAAAAACTTGAGTTAATTGTATCAATTTTGCTATCTGTGAATGATGTTAGGTTCTTTCTTTCGGAGAACGATGATTCGTATGAATCATTTTAGTTTTCAAATGAGCATTTCACCGAAAAACCGCCCTAAATCACCTAAAAAGAGACCTGCTAAAAAGGTCAAAATTCAAACAACTCCTCGATATTTACTTTTCCGGAAATCCTTCCCCAGCGATTAGTAAAATAATACAACTTCCTCTTGTAAAAATCTCATTGCGAGAGATGTCAATCAATTTAAGGCTTATTTTCACACTTAAGCTTAAATTCAACGTTTTAGTGAAATTGCGAACTTACAGAGCTTCCTGCTGCTATGCCATTGTTTGTGTGGTTTTTGAAGAAAATGTTCAAAATTATTATTAATGCAATTCGATTTAACCAAAAACCTAGTCTGAGGGGATGGTCCTGTGATGACGTCAAGATCAAATCAATCTGCATGTGATAGAGGCTTAAACCTATTGAATGGTCATTGAGTTGTGGTTTTGTAGCTCCACCTGGATATATAGCCACGGGAGGGGGGGACTATACCCATCTCTTCCGACTAACTGAAATTTCTACCAGAAAAAAGAATATTCTACAATTTTTGGACCATCTTAATCTTTGAGGGGTCCTTCATCGCGCAACTTTTCCCTTTTTGATCCTTTAACCACCCCTCCCCTCCCCCACGAAAGAGAACGTTCTTTTAAGGCGCATCTTTTTAAGAACTCAAAAATCTCCGTGGAAAATGCAACGTTGTGTAGAGAATAGGCTCCTTAAAAATAGTTCGATTAGTCTCGCCGATTTAAGAAATGCAAAATGTACAATTTTTAGCGCACATCGAGGCATGAAACGTTGGAAAATCTAAACTTTGCAACGCTGTGCTTCGATAGTCAACTTTAAAATGAAGAAAAACTGAAATTGGCAGTTCGTATTATCGTTAGGCTTCATTTTTGTGACAAGTGGATGTTATTCCCAGGATCCGAGTAAAGCGGCGGCAAAACAACTCGTTTTTAAGGATATTTGGAGATTGTCGGAGCGGCCGCTTCGTCGTAAAGAACATAGGTAAAAAGCATAAAATCTCACCTTGGAAAATACCAGCTGGATAAAATTCCTCAGTGCAACACGTAGGAGTTGAAAACCAAACACTCCGTAAACCGGACGAGTAAGCGTAAACTCGTAAAGAGAACCCGGACTCGTAAAACTAAACTCAACGACGCGGATGACGTACTGGAACGACGCTCCGTCACGACAAGAAAGACGGACGCGAGGACGTTAACTTAAACTAAGATACGTTTACTTAACCTATGATATGCAATTGATGATATGTACGGGGTGATGCGTGAGCAATGATATGTTTTGAGACCCGCGTGGCGGCACTTGTCGGCGGGCGTAGCGGCTCCCTTCGGCTCGTCGGGTGCTAACTGGTGGCCGCTTCGGCGAGAGGTCCTCGCTGGCGCCCGGCGCCCCGCGCAGGCGTCCCAGCTCCAACACGTGCCCTCCCGACGAGCCGGAGGGACGCCCGACGGGACTACATCAATTTTTGTACGCAATTTTACCCCCCCCCCTCCTCCCCCCGTCCCTGCGGGGTCCGCGGCGTTACGATACAACTCGGCTACGCTTACTACGCGACAACCCGAGCGTCTGTGACCCCGCGGGATCCATCCGCGACGGCGGCGCTTTGCGCGGGTTAGGTGCGGCCCGCTCCCGACTCCCGCCGGAGCGCGGTGCTCCTGGCCTAAGGAACAACGCCGTATCAACAATCCGGAGTTGCCGAATTTCCCGTGATAAAACGTGTATTTTTGACAACATTCATGCATGTTTTTCCTTGAAATGGAGATGTTGCATGTGTGAGGGATTTGCGATTTGACAAATGATTCCTATGTATAAGTTTGCGAGAAACACGATGGTGCCACTGGCTTTCTCTGAAATAAATGCCGCAATCAAACGCTGAATTTAGCACCTGAATGTGGAAGTCAACAGTCATCGCCCAACGGCTGAAATTTAGCAAATTCGAGTTATTTTCATCCAATTGTGTATCAAATCTACTCGAATAGTTCAGACAAATTCAAAATTGGTCCGATGGTTGCTGAGAATCGTTGCTGAATTTTGCGCGTCAGGCAAAATTCAGGCATCGGGCAGATGACTTCCACATTCAAGCCACATTCAGCGTGTGATTGCGGTGTAACTCCCAAGCTCAAAAAAAGCTCCTCAGCTGAGGCCAAAATGGAGAGGATATCCAACGCTACCCTGAGAGTCCACCTCTACATGAAGACAAACCCTCCTTGCAAACATAGGGAGCAAATACATTGACAGGGCTGCCACCTTATTTGGGGACTCTAAAAGTGAAATCACGGCAACCCTGTCAGTGAATTTGCTCCCTATCTTTGCATGGCGAGTTTGTCTTGATGTAGAGGTGGACTCTCAGGATAGCGTGGGATATCCCCTCCATTTTGGCCTCAGCTGGGGAGCTTTTTTTGAGCTTGGGAGTTGATTTCAGAGAAAACCAGTGGCAACATCGTGTTTCTCGCGAACTTTTACATAGGAATCATATGTCAAATCGCAAATCCCTCACACATGCAACATCTCCATTACGTACAAAATTGTCTGAAGATTTAAGAAAGGAATATTTGCAGTTTTCCCAGTAAATTCGGTTTTTATCCGAGGAAACCCGGCAACCCTGGTAAAAACTGGCAGTAGAATCTGAGTTCCAAAATACTTTAGACCTACAGCTGGCTGTAAGATTTCCAATAGCTTCTATAGCCGGCAACACAATTTCTTATAGCCTTTTATAGCCGATGGCGATAAAGTGTATGCTAAACGTTACTAATTACGGATGCTAGGACTTAGTGAGTTTTTGGACTACCGCTCTTTTTTTGGGCTGTAGTATCTTGATTTATTTTGCGAGGAAAGCTTCGTGCTTTTGAAGGATGCTTGCCATTCCTAATATATTAGAGCGCCTTCAGTTTCGTATGATACTGTGCAATACCTCTGGTGTGAAATAGTTGCTTCAAGCGCCGTGGCAGCCAGCACGAAACACGCATTGGCGCCTACAAACCTAACAGGGATACTTCACGCATTGCGCAATGCGTGAAGTATCCCTGTTAGGTTTGTAGGCGCCAGTGCACCACCGCTCCGCTTTGTGTTAGGCTCTAATATTTAATCTCGTGGAGTCAGCGTTTTACAAGTCATGACTTTGCAATGATTGCACACTCTGTATGGATTATTCTCGTTTTAATTGATGAAAAAAAATATGTATTAAAGGAAAATATAATGTGTGTTTTGTAAATATTAAGGTGGTTCCGTATCAAAATTAATGATTTCCAAAGCACACGAATTTCTCCACAATTTCTTATAGCATTTCATAGCCGATGGCAAAAAAGCAACAGCCAGGCGATCCCGGCGATAGGAACTATAGCCCGGCTGCATAATTTTTTATCGCTTCGTGTAGCCCGGCCGTGTGATTTTTTCCACTTTCTACAGTCAGGTATATGATTTTTTATCGCCTTCTCCAGTCGGCTATAAGAACTCATATGGTATTTTGAAACGCAGCTCCTATCGCCAATTTATACCAGGGAACATCTGAAGGCTCATACGATGTTCTGTCTTAGTACGGCAGAGTGGATCGAGCCAATCAAAGAGATCGGACATGAAATTTTTGGCCAAAGCTCCAAATTTTGATGTTTGTTTCGTCACATTTTAAATTTCGGGGGTGACTCCTGATGACCATCGGCGTGTTTACATTCACATTTTTCTCGCATTGTTATAGAAATCCGCCTTGATTGACCTCGTGCTCTCCTCAACTTGCGCGCGGAAGCGTCAGTCATGTTGAGCAGGGCTTTAATGGAACGACTCCTCTAACGAAATGTTCACCTGGGCTAAAGTATCATTTTTGAAGCGGGAAGCTTAAAAATACGCAAATTTCTTACGCAGATGGTAATGTTAGGAGTGCATTTCAGAGTTTGACGATGCGCTCATCGTGATTTTTAAGACATTATCTGTACGGAACAACTCTTATTTTTGCTATGACAAAAGTTTGCAACAGGCCTATTTTACTTGAGATACAACGGCGCTTTATCTACACGCGGCAAAGTTTGCACGGACCATATTGTGGTCTGGGGGAATGGGGTTTATTTTTGCTTAGCGGTGTTTCGAGAATAACACACTGCTTTGCGTAAGGCTCTTGGAAACGAGTCCGGAGGGAGTTACTGTCGGCTTTGTTTCGATAAATGTCACATGCGGCGCAGATCACCCGCTGTGAAAAAGGAGCGAAATTACGGCCTTCGGAAGGAGCTATAAATAAGACCACGACGGAGCCTATAATGTGCCCATATGGAACGGGAATTTGCAGCCGCTTGACAGTGATGTAACACTGAAAATTAGTCGCTGTAGTCACGATATCGTTCCTCCAAATTCGGGACAGGTACCTACGTGGTCTGCGTGGAGACATTCGAAGAGTTGAAATGTTGTGCGAGTCCTCAAAGCTATCTTTCGTATCTCTAAAAGTATATAAAACACAAAATAACGTAGCCCGAATATACGAATACAAATAGGGAGGGATTTAAAACATGGGTAAACAAGCTTACAACATTAAAAACACTAAGCAAACTAAAACTAGCTAGCTAAATGAGCTGGTAGGTAACAGCTTGGAACGTCCTGCCTTTTATCGTTTAGCCTTTTTTACCTATTTTTTAAATCCTTCCCTATTTGTAAAATTATATACTTATAAAAAATATTCATCGTATGAAAATGACAACTATGATCTTTTCCTACAAGGAAATGGTTCGCGTTGAACATCCTTGCGAATGAACGAGTTGTTTTTATAGAAGGTGCTCTCAGTTTTAACACTCAACAATACCTCGTTATTTACGTATTCGTACAATTTGTAGGTAACTGTTTTTGTGTGTCTCTACTGCGGTTCAAAGTTGGAAATTTCTATGGCAGGAAATATGCTAAAAATCACTTATGGAAGTCAACACTCAGATTCGCCTGATGATGACTTATGTCCAATGAGTTGAGCAAATGGTTTGACGAACATAACCTAATTTGCAAAAACTGGCATGCATATGCAGTGCAAAGCGTGTAAAGTGCTCGCTCAAACATCCAATTGGTCATCATCATGCGAATTTGATTTGATTTCTTGCTCAACAAGTCGTTCATCAATCATCACTGAGCGAAAAGTAGCACTTTAATAGATCGATAGCACGATAGTTTCACGATACCTGGAATAGTTATGTCGCCGTAGACAACACATTTTTCGATCATATTTTTAGTAGTAATGATAATCACTCGAATTTTTTTGCATTAATCTTCAAAGGGTTACGTATTATAACGCTTCCTAATAAGTTTTTGCTCTTTTTCTCAATTAATATCATGTAAACTCCGAAAATGAGCTGTCTATTACGCGGTAAAAAGTCAACGTAACAGACAACACATTTTCGGCCATTTATATATTATAATTGAAAAGTAGAGCGATATATCGTTGAAAAGCGTTATAACACGTAATTCTGTGTAGATTAATGTAAAAAAATTCGAGCGATTATCATTACTACTAAAAATATGACCGAAAAATGTGTTGTCTGTTACGGCGACAAAACTACTCCAGTTCCACTTGCAGGCTTGGCTTATGTTCCACCCGATTACTTTGCTTAGTTTTTTGGTATGGGATCTTTCATACAGGGTTATCCAAAAGTCACTGACCACCCCTGTAACTTTTTTCCAAATTGAGATAGAAGTTTGAAACTTTGGGAATGTTCCTCGGTCTAAGGTAGCAACTTTTTGGTCCCCCCAAAATTTTGGGGGGCGGCCCCCCTTAAGGGGGGCGGGGGCTAACTTTTTTTTTTC